TGGGACTCTCGGACCTCTTCCTTGTCTCTTCCTCTGGCGGCATACTTGCAGCTGTGGTCCCGCTTACGACTGTTTTTGGAGGGCACCCGGGTCACATGTCGGTTGTTTGGACGGTGGTGCGGGAGCCTGATCTTAGCCGCACTGGTCTACCCATCAGGTTGGATCTGGCTTCGGTGAATGTTCTGGTTTATTCCACTGTTCTCGTGATCGCTGTGTTCGGATCCCGAGAGCCTTGTGTCAGCTGCTGCGTTGCCGGCTTACTCTGAGTTTTTTTTCAGGGTTCTATGCCCTGGCGCCTCCCCGAGTCCTCGCTGGATGTGTTCACGGGTGCCTCGTCTCTCAGCTGGGGTTTTGTGATCAGTGCTCACCAGCCCGGCCAGAGTCAGTGGGGTTCGTTCTTCTGTCGAGCTCACAGCACGGTTTGCGGTGGTGTGGCATTTGCTTCAGAGGGTTCGTGTTGCTCGTGGAGCAATGATCCAACTCCATTCGGACTGCTCCCTAGTGGTTCATTGTCTGAACCGCAGGGGTTCGATGCAGTCATTGGCTCTGTGGGCTAGTCGCTTCAGGTGACTCATTTCTGCCCGAAACGTTGCACGTACTAGTGACTTTACAAGATTGTAATTACCATATTATGTATCCTCACAATCCCAATGTACCTTCTTGTATATGCATAAATAAATAAATAAATAAATTTGCTGAGTTCTCGGGGGTTGGCTCTCCTGGCAGTTCATGTTCAGGGGGTGTCAAACGTCCTGGGGGATGGCCTGTCTCAGTTCATTCCCATATTCACGGAATGGACGGTCGACACTGACTTGTTCAGTTGGCTCTGCCAGACGTATGGGCACCTAGAGATGGACCTCTTCGCATCGACTTGGTCGAGGCGTCTTCCAGTGTATGTGGCACCTTTCCCAGACTGCAAGGCCATCAGGGTCGATGCCTTTTGGCTAGACTGGTCGAGTTGAGGTTACCTGTACCTCTTCCCACCAGTTTGGTTGTTGCTCTGGGTCCTGGTTAGCTTAGAGAGATTTATCAGGGATGAGTTGTCCTGTTGGCTCTTAGGTGGCCGGCCCAGCCTTGGTTTCAGGTGCTCCTTGCTCGATGTCCGAACCTGACGGTCTTCCCACGGCTCTGCCTCTTTCAGCAGATCGGTCCATTCTGGTACGTGGCTAATTCAATCTTCTCAGTTTCTCGCGCTGGTGTTTTTGATGCAGGTTTATCACCACTTGTATGGTGATCAGGTGGCTTAGTTGGTGTCCCACCAGCGATTTTCATCTTAATAGCAGTAGGAAATTTCCTGGCGGTCTTTTCGGCATTTGTCTCTTTGTAGGTTTTTTTTTTTTTTTTGAGATATATACAAGAGTTGTTACATTCTTGTACAGCCACTAGTACGCGTAGCGTTTCGGGCAAGTCCTTAATCCTATGGTCCCTGGAATACGATCCCCGCCGCGAAGAATCGTTGTTACAACCAAGTACACATTTTACTGTTGCGTTAAACAGAGGCTACAGTTAAGGATTTGCGCCCAGTAAATCCTCCCCGGCCAGGATACGAACCATGACATAGCGCTTTTGGTTTGGTTAGGTGGTTTTGTCCTTTCTCTCTTGGTTGTTTCAGGACAGTCTTCTAATGCCAGATACTGCCGACTGTTTGAGTGGCGCTGCCAGAGCCACTGCAGCTTGCATTTGGGGGTAGTTGTCACTTTTGCTCTGTTCTGCAAGCTTTCTTGGGCTTTGTTTTCACCTCTGGCTTGCTCATGCACCGCCTGACCTGTCCTGGTTGTTGCACCGGGTGCTGTCTTCTCCCTTCTCCTCGGTTTGGGGTGGTCCCCTCGGTTCAAGCCTTTTTTCTTCGGCTCTTTTCTTGTTGGCATTGGCCTCTGGGGGTCAGGTTGGAGAGTTTCATGCTCTCCTCTGTCGCAGGGGTTTCTGCTCTTTCGGTCCTGGTGGTCTTTTCTTCATTTGCAGCCGTCAATTCTTTTTTGATGAAGAATGAGTCTGCTGCTTTCCGAAGGGGTCTTTGGGTTGTTGATGCATCATGTTTTGTGTCTGTGGCTCTTCGCCGTTCTTTGTGCATTACGGCCTCTGTGGCAGAGGACGTGCTTTGGGTTGACCCAGTTTCCCTTCTCTATTCCTGGAAGAGGGTCTCCCAGGTTGTCCACAGGATTAGATCATAAAAGTATTTGAGAGAGTGATTAGGAGTCAGGTCACCAATTTCATGGAGACCAATGACCTTCACAACCCAAGCCAACATGGATTTCGAGCGGGAAGATCGTGCCTCACAGCTACTTGAGCACTACAACAAAGTCACTGAGGCATTAGAAGAAAAACAGAATGCTGACGTGATATACACGGACTTCGCAAAGGCTTTCGATAAATGTGACCATGGCGTGATAGCACACAAAATGAAGTTAATGGGAATAACCGGTAAAGTAGGACGCTGGATACTCGGTTTTCTGTCAAACAGGACTCGGCGAGTAACGGTCAACCATATAAAATCTAGTCCAAGTGCAGTTAAAAGCTCTGTACCTCAGGGTACAGTCCTTGCACCGCTGCTTTTCCTTATTCTCATATCAGATATAGACAAAAATACAAATCACAGCTTCGTATCATCCTTTGCAGATGACACAAAAATCAGTATGAAAGTAATCTCGGCTGAAGACATTGAAAAACTTCAAGCTGATATTAATAAAGTTTTCGACTGGGCATCAGAAAATAACATGTTTAACAGTGATAAATTCCAGATACTCAGGTACGGTAAAAATGAGGACCTTAAACATAATACAGAGTACAAAACACAATCAAATGTACCCATGGTAGGAAAACAGCATGTAAAGGATTTGGGAATAATAATGTCAGACGACCTAACGTTTAAGGAGCATAACCAAGCAAATATTGCGACAGCCAGAAAAATGATAGAATGGATTAAAAGAACTTTCAAATCCAGGGATCCCATCACAATGGTTGTACTCTTCAAGTCACTTGTGTTGTCCCATCTTGAGTACTGCTCAGTACTCGCTTTCCCCTTCAGAGCAGGAAAGATTGCTGAAATAGAGGGAATACAGAGAACATTTACGGCACGCATAGACGTGATAAAGCACCTAAATTATTGGGATCGTCTCAAATCCCTCCAAATATACTCACTAGAAAGAAGACGAGAGAGATATCAAATAATATACACCTGGAAGGTACTGGAGGGCCAAGTACCAAATCTACACAGTAAAATAACAACGTACTGGAGTGAACGATATGGAAGAAAATGCAGAATAGAACCAGTGAAGAGCAGAGGTGCCATAGGCACAATCAGAGAACATTGTATAAACATCAGAGGTCCCCGGTTGTTCAACACCCTCCCAGCAAGCATAAGAAATATTGCCGGAACAACCGTGGACATTTTCAAGAGGAAACTAGATTTATTCCTCCAAGGAGTGCCGGACCAACTGGGCTGTGGTGGGTATGTGGCCCTGTGGGCCACTCCAAGCAACAGCCTAGTGGACCAAACTCTCACAAGTCAAGCCTGGCCTCAGGCCGGGCTTGGGGAGTAGAAGAACTCCCAGAACCCCATCAACCAGGTATTTAGTCCTGCCAGCCTGTGGTCTTTCCCCGTGCAAACGTCGTTCGTAAGTTCGGCATTTGCCTGGTTTTTTGGTAATGTCCTGGCCTACTTTTGGGCACCGGGCTATTGAAGGTCGAACAGGGTCCTGGCTGCACGTTACCTTGTTAATGTTCTTAGTCCTTCTCGGGCGTGTATAGCCTTGGGTCGCAGGTTGCGGCCTGTTGTCTCAACTTTGAGTTGAGGAGCGAGTGACGACCACCTCCCGGGCGAGTCCCTTTTCTTCTTATCTTTGGTTAGGTAGCTCCGGGGAGTCGAAGGGGCTCTCCACAGAAAACCAGCGTTGAATGTAATGAAACGCCATTTTCTGGGTGAGACTCGGAGGCTCCCCGGCATCCCTCCCACCCTCCGGTCGGCATTTTTTTCATGTTTTTAATACTCATCCTCTGAACTGAGGAGAGTTGCCGGCGTGGAGGTCTGGGACTCCCCGTTCCACTCCCGGGGAGGAGGGTTGCACAGACGGATGCGCGGCGGTTGTGGTGACGTCATGTTTGTTTCCTTGTTTTTGACTGGGGAGTTCTGTTTGCTAGTTCGGTTTTGGTTTGCAATTTTTTGACGAGCAACAGTTTGTTTTGAAATTCCTACATTTCTGGGTGCCTGACCTGGTAGATGGCAGACAAAGACTGCTTCCAATTACACGGGGGTGTCTTTAGGCCAGTGCTCCTCGTGCCTCTCTTGAGGGGGACAGGTTCTGGCTCTGGTCCCCGGTAGGCTTAGAACTCCTTCGATTGACAGTTGCCATGGTCTTTATATATACACATCAGCCCGGTACAGCTCGGTATAGCTCCGGGGAGCCTCCGGGTCTCACCCAGAAAGTGGCTTTTCATTACATTCAATGCTGGTTTTTTGTTTTTTTTTAATTATTATAGTGGCTAAGGGTTTGATGATACTATAAAGGGTGTCCCAGAATTAGTTTTCTATTTGTATAAAATTGGACAAATCTATTAAAAACCTACATTATTTCATGATTTTACATAATTTTGATACAAAAAGTTATAAATCATAATTCAAATTTTTATTGATGCTGTCGATCAATAATTATTATACTGTACTATTGATATTGTCACTTTGTTCTTGGGCGTCCTCTTCCCACATCATCGTGTATGGATCCAGTTCTTTAAATTTGTTTACAAGTTCTTGAATCGCTTTGCCTGTAAGATCTATTCTGGAAAATTTCTTTGTAAACCTGTCTTATAATGCTGAGTTTGATGATAATGGCACACACTAAGTTTGGTGATAATACAGTAATGACTGAAGATGGGCTTGTTGAAATGTTATGTGCAAATGGTGATTGACTAAAACATTAAACAGTAGCTTTAATGTTGATGATAATGATACTCAAATAATGTTGAAAGCATTGATAACAATTATGTCATTGATGGTGGCGACACAGGAACGTGAGCAAATGATCCGAGGCATCAGATGTCTTGGGGTGGCACCCTGGGGTTATATAGATGGCAGGGAGTCCTTCGTCAACTCCAACGAGAATGTCTTCGCTTCTGTCAAGTAAGTTTTCTTGTAAATATATTGTGTCAGCTTTCCCCTGCATTAGGTGAGGTATACATTTTTGCCCTGGGTTTTATATAGCAGCATAGCCATACAGAATGTGAGGTATAGTTGTCCTGTGGCTGCATTGCTAAACAGGTTTCATTCATTTAATTTAAATTAATTTTAAATTAAAATTATATAGAAAAACACAATACAGTTGTTGAATAGTTGTTACATAAAATGTGTATTTATCAAAGCCACTAGTATGCAAAGTTTATCTTGTTTTATCTTTGTTTTACTGACCATTCTCTATTCTCTCAGGTACAAGGCAAAGGAGGAAGTCCTCCAACATGCCCCATGCTCCCTGAATGGGGATCATACCCACTTCCTACTTGTTGATGATGGGCACAGGAATAGCTTCAGAGGTGTCGATGAGTTCAGGTCAGCCAGTCAGGTTTTCCCAGCATAAATAACTTTTATTTTTACCTGATTTATTTGAGGGCCACTAACCCTGGTGACCTCGATGAGAACAGGAAGCTGGCAGCTTGTCAAAGGTCCCCCCATTTGCCTTTATGATTTTTTCCAGGTATATTTTGAAACTCGGCACTGTTTTGGCATTTATAGCTTTGGCGGGTAGGCAGTTCCATGAGTTTATAACACTGTGGGTGAAGAAGCATCTCCTGTTCTCCGTCCTACACTGTGGCTTGTTGAGCTTAAAACCATTGCTCTTGTTTTATTATGCTGCCGTGTGGAGTTAAAAATGGGACAGACTGAATTTACCCGAGGACCACCATCTTGAGTAGCCTTAGTGGGGACAGGAAGCTGGCAGATTGGCAAAGGTCCCTCATAAACATGTAAACAAATGTACATATTTTGGACAAAAATTTGAAGACAGTTAAGAGAGGATATTGTGGCATTTTTAAGGGATATGGAGGTATTTAAAAGGGCCCATTAAAAATTTTCATGTAATGCCATAATCGATTATTATTGATTGGTTTTTTAAATTGATTTGTTTTTAATTTCCTTAAATTTCTGAGGTTAATATTACAATAAAACCATGATTATCAAGACTAATTGGTTTCTCCAGATGTCTAGAAAACTGAAAATCCATATAATCATTAAATAAAACATTGAGAACACTTGTAATGGTGTTCTAATAGGAATGCATAACCCTTAAATGGCGCATAGCTATATACCATTTGACACCCACAGGTGCATACCAAAAAAAAAAAAAAAATTTTTTTCTTCCTAACCTGTTAATTTGTGTTCACTGATCACGGGAAAAATAATAAAAAAATCGTAAGTGGCACATATTGCCCACTATAGGGCGGGGAATTCTGGCAAAAATCAGGCGCTGACTGAGCGTGCGTCCCAGGCGGTCTGTTGATCGCCAGCTGTCAGGCCAGAGTTTCCACAAAGAGATAATTACCTAATTATTTCAATGTGTCTGATTGATTTTTCGTAGTTTTTTTGCTGTAATATTATTCAATAGTGTGTAGTGTGATATATTTATATAATAAAATGAGTGAATCATCGCTGTACTAAAAAATATGGTGTGCATATTGTTGATTCAATTATATATGTTCATCAAACAGTGAACAAATACTTTGCTGAATGTACAACACGAGAAAACATAATTTTAACCTGAAAAAGTATATTTTTATTAAGAAATTAGACGAAAATAAAGAGCTGGTGACGCCAAATAAAGTCGACGATCCAAGCGTCGGTTAGGTTAGGTTAGGTTTGGTTTGGTTTGGTTTGGTTTTTGGTTTGGTTTTTGGTTTGGTTTTTGGTTTGGTTTTTGGTTTGGTTTTTGGTTTGGTTTTTGGTTTGGTTTTTGGTTTGGTTTGGTTTTTGGTTTGGTTTGGTTTTTGGTTTGGTTTGGTTTTTGGTTTGGTTTGGTTTGGTTTTTGGTTTGGTTTGGTTTTTGGTTTGGTTTGGTTTTTGGTTTGGTTTGGTTTGGTTTTTGGTTTGGTTTGGTTTTTGGTTTGGTTTGGTTTTTGGTTTGGTTTGGTTTTTGGTTTGGTTTGGTTTTTGGTTTGGTTTGGTTTTTGGTTTGGTTTGGTTTTTGGTTTGGTTTGGTTTTTGGTTTGGTTTGGTTTTTGGTTTGGTTTGGTTTTTGGTTTGGTTTGGTTTTTGGTTTGGTTTGGTTTTTGGTTTGGTTTGGTTTTTGGTTTGGTTTTTGGTTTGGTTTGGTTTTTGGTTTGGTTTGGTTTTTGGTTTGGTTTTTGGTTTGGTTTGGTCAACCTAACCTAACATATCATATTTATTCATTACTAACGTATTGCCAGGAAGCTTTCTGAAGCTTTGTGAAGCTTGTGTAGCTTGTGGTAATTAGACGGACCCAGACGCACTAATATTTCTCCTACAACAATACTGTGTGGTGTTATTACGCTATATACACACCTTATATATAAATATCTACCTGTTTTATTCACCATACTTGTACAAGTAAACTGGTATGGTGCCCAAAGACCATCGTGGTCATCAGTAAACAACATAAGTCGTGCAGACGACGCTCCTCCCTCACCATAATGGCGGCTCCCAACCTCCTACTCTCGCTGTTATCTCACACTATACACACGTTATATATAAGTATCTACATTTGTGTTCACCATAGCGAAACACTAAGCTGGTATGGTGAGTGCAGTCAATAAAAGGTGGCCACACACACTCAAAAGACAACGCCCCCATCCTCCCTCCCACAGCATTACTCCTCCCTCCATGGCGCACAGTGCCAAATATCACCACAATCCTGCTATTATCAGAACCCTGGTCAGTTTTATCACAGTCAGGGGTCTTCTGTAATAATATCATCGCTACATAATAGCATGAACAAGTATATTATGGCATTTTTAGGCGATGCTGTGGTCACAAGCTGAACAGCAGTGCTGTGAGTTCATGCTGCGTGCGTCAGGCTTGGTAGCTGACTCAAATCATATTTATTCATTACTAACGTATTGCCAGGAAGCTTTCTGAAGCTTTGTAAAGCTTGTGTAGCTTGTGGTAATTAGACGGACCCCCCGGGAGTTTGGCCCACGATTTTTTAAAAAAATGGCGTCTGTTTACAAGAGCCCTGATGAAGGTGTGGTGAACCCCGTGTATCCGCGGGCCGTTTAAATCTTGCGTAGTACTCCAAAGCATCACATGATGCGATGCGCAATTTACTGCAAGTCGGTCAAAGCATCATATGATGCGATGCGCAATTGAAGGGTTAAAACTAGTACAATTTTGATGTTATTTGATATAAAAAATCCTCACCATCAAGAACTTGTGCCATGCCTCTGATTAATGGGAGTAGAGAACCAAACATTTTTACATTTGGATAATACAAAAATCTGGATAATGAAGGTAGCATTGTATCGTTTACTTTCTTTTCTGTGGAGAATCCCTATGGCTCCCTGGAGCTTATCGGGCTAATGTATGTTATATTAGAGAGGGACATTAGCTAAGGAGTTCAGACCTACCAGAGACGAGTGCCAGAACCTGGCCTCTTCAGAGAGGTTTCAGGGAGCAATGGCCCTGGAAAATCCCCCTGTAGTTGGGGTTTTCGTTATCTGCCATCGAATGGGGTTAGGCACCCAGAAAGGTAGGCATAACAAAACAAACCCCACATGGTAAAAACTAAAACAGAAAACTGAGCTGAGAGGTAGAAACTTGCTACAATCCCAAGGAAACAAGCAAACAAGCAAACATCACACTTTACTGCCGCGCCGATCATCCGTGCAGCCCTCCCTGCCCTGAGAGGGGGAGGGGGGAGCCCGGGACCCCACTGCGCCGGCTGCCTAGCATCAATTCATAAGCTAATGTCAACTGGGATAGATGCTTCTCTGGCCTCGGTTTCCTAGGCGGTGTTTCCTTTTTGTGGCGTTCACTGCTGTGTATTGTGTTGTGCGGTGGCCAGGAGTACCTCATCAGTGCCGGGGCTGCATGCGCTTAGTGGCTTCCTTCCCTAAGCGCCCTGTGAGTACTGCCCCTGCGTGACAGGGTTATCTTCCCTGGGGCGTTTGGGAACCATTCCCGTAGAGGTTCTTGCTGCTCGGCATTTGCCTTGCCCTTGGGGCCAGCTGGGGCTTGGGGCCCCTTGTTTGGCCCTGGGTAGGGACTGGTATTGTGCTGGTTAGGGCGTCAAGGTGTTGCACGGCCTGCCACCTAAGCGGTGACTGGTTTCTGTTGCCTCTGGGGACGGTGTACTTTTGCGGGGGTTTTCTTTTATTTTTTATTTTCATTTGCTTGGTAGGGGTCTGCCTAATGTTTGCTATAGTTCCACTGGTAGTGCTTGGTGGCCCTCTGCTGGGCCCCCGTGATTGTACACGTGGCAGGGGTTTTCAGTGTTGTCCTCTACCCCCTTGTTAGTTTTGGGTATTAACCAGTTAGCAACACCTTGCCCAGTCTTCCCGTAGTTGTAACCATATGGGCCCTGGAAAACCCTGTCGGGGTTCAGTGGACCATTGAATGTATCTTCCGGATTCCAACCTGTCTTGGGCGGGTTCGTTGGTTGCTGTGCCCTTGTCTCCGGGTGACAGTCGCCACTTTTTACATCCGTCATGTTGCCTGTCGGGTCCCTGACACCTTCTTGAGGTTATATTGAGATGATTTCGGGGCTTTAGTGTCCCCGCGGCCCGGTCCTCGACCAGGCCTCCACCCCCAGGAAGCAGCCTGTGACAGCTGACTAACTCCCAGGTACCTATTTACTGCTAGGTAACAGGGGCATTCCGGGTGAAAGAAACATTGCCCATTTGTTTCTACCTCGTGTGGGAATCGAACCCGTGCCACAGAATTACGAGTCCTGTGCGCTATCCACCAGGCTACAAGGCCCCTGGAGTCTTGCAAGAGATATTCTCTGCTTGTTCTCCAGTGCTCTCCTGATGTTATTACTGCTCAGAATACAGGCGGCATCCGTGTTGCAAGCTAGGTTAGGTTGCTGCAACACGCTAGGTTGGTTTCCCACTCGGATGCCCCAGGGCTGCCCCGTTTTGGTAAGGTGCTGTTCGTCCCTTTCCCTCCCTGTTCCCGGCTCCAGACCGTCAGCGGGTATCGGGGTCGGGGCGGGGTTTAGATGGGGCCGAGACTCGCACGGTTTCGGGGCCTGTCCTGTTCGGGTTGGGGACTGAGGTTTTCGAACCTGTTCTTCCTGCCAAGGCTTCTGGGTCTTACCAGCGGCCCTTTCTTGCTACCTTTCCCATGGACTCTTCCTTTTCTTTAAGGGAGGAGGGTGTGGAGGACAGCTCTGCCCCAGGGTCTCTGTTGCGGGTTCCTGGGGCTGTGGGGAATGCTTGCTAGCAGTTCTGAGGCTGTTTGCCCCTGCCTGGGGTTTTCTGCTTCTGGGCAGTTTTTCGCTCGTTTAGTCTGCTTGCTTCCCACTTTTGCTGGCATGTTTTCGTATCTATTGCGTCGGTCACAGCCCCCTGTTCTGGTGGCCATTTTCTTTCTGCCGGTTT